CTCCGGGCGGGTGGCTAGGGTGGTGAGAACAGATGGAAGGTGGGGATAGTCCTGGCTGTGAAATCTCCTGCGCTCTGACACCAAGTCCTGCAGAGGGACTGAGTGCTCCGGGCCTCACGCGTGCAGGTCTCAGATCCCTGCCGTCCAGGCCCCAGGGCGACTGGTGCGAGCTGGGACCATGCATCGATGGAGGCTCCCATGGCCAGAGGAGCTCGCAAAACTCCTGCAAGGAGGCTCTTCCTGGTCAGAGCCCCAGACCTTGGCGTGGAATTCTCTTCTGATCATAACTCAAATGCCACTGCTCAACTGAAGCCTGAACCCTTCCAGACTATTTGAGACAGAGATGGGGTGGGGGCCCTGGGCAGATATCACGAGTAGATTTCAGGAGTTCGCTGTGCCTGTGTCCTCTCCTCGACCTTCTCCCCTCGGACCCGGAACAGCCCCTCGCTCCAGTTCCCTGGAGCGTCTGCCTGGGCAGGAGCCCTCCAGGCTGCTTAGTGGAGACCCCCTCAGAGGCAGGATTGAAACCCTCCTCCCTGCTCTGTTGAAGACTCAGTGGCCTCCCCAACAGCCCTAGATCCTGGGACTGGGAGGTTACCCAAGAACTCTAGCAGATCCTGGGACTGGGAGGTTACCCAAGAACTCTAGCCACAAATACATCCTTGATAGAGGGTGTTCCCTGTCCGAATGTCTGGCCAGCTCCAGGCCCAGGGCATTGGACTGAGGGCCAAGACAAAGACCCCATGCAAATCCTCCTCTGACTCTCAGCAGTGCTCAGTCCCTATATATAGGCCTGTTGTGGTAGCTGAGAGCCTTCCAGAATCTGGAACAGATTCTTCCTTTCTCTGAATCTAGGCAGACTCTTGAAGGCTGAACCTGTGGCTACGACTCAGTGCCTTTGCTCATGCTGTTCCTTCTGCCTGGCATGCCCTTCCTGCCATTTTCCCAGTGAAACTAACTTTACCTTCAAGACTCAGATGAAACGTCTGCCTCTTAGGGAAGCCTCCTCAGCTTTCCCTCATCAGAAGCGCTATCTTCTTTACACTAAAAGCACTTAAGTCATCCCACAAGTACTGACCCAAACGTACAACATTCCAGGTCATTGTCCTCTGCCCTGCTTTCACCTCCTGGGCTGTGACTGCCCATTGACTGTGAGCTCACTAGCTTCTAGGGAGCCTGGGAGCCTTAAGACTGGCAGCACTGGGACCCCGGCGCCTGATCTGAATGCTGCTGCCTCTAACACCTCTGCTTCCCATGCAGCTGCGAGGAGCTGTGCCCGCCTGGAAGCCACGGGGCTCACTGTGAGCTGCGCTGCCCCTGCCAGAATGGGGGCACCTGCCACCACATCACTGGCGAGTGTGCCTGCCCCCCAGGCTGGACGGTAGGTGGCCCCGCAGGATGTGGGGGGGACTCCGTAAGAGGTCTGAGCATCCCTTACTCACATGCACCCTGGAGGACTAAATTCCCCTCCCACCCTGAATTCCCTCCCTCCTATTTACGGTCATGGGCATCATTAGACACTGACAGCGGTGCCATGAACACAGCTTTGAATCCCAGGGCTGCCATCTGAGTGCTGTGTGACCTGAAGCAAGTTACTTAACCTCTCTGAGCCTGTGGTCCCTTGTGTACAGAGGAGTTGAATTCTTCTCATATACTGGCTCTGTCTTTGAGTGTAGATACTCACTTGAGCTGCCACGGGCTCTCAAATGTAGCAAAGAGAACATGGCGTAAGGATGGGGGTGGTGCAGAGAGGGGAGACAGCAGGGTATGGGTCACCTGAGTTTATAGAACCTCAGATTCCCTGCCTCCAACCCCTACACACGTGCGCGCGCGCACACACGCACACACATTCTGATTCTGTGGGCCACAGAATCTGTAGTCTAAAAACCACTGCAGGTGATTCTGATGCAGCCTTAACCAATCCAGGTCTCTTGTCTGGAAACCACCACCGTGGGAAAGGGGGATGGGATTTATAACCTCACAGGCTTAAATTCAGGTCTCACATCCAACGATGACCCTGAAAAAAGCCCTCAGTTATTCTGGTCTCTGCTTCCCCGTCTGCAAAACTCGTGTAACAACAGCCTGCCCTGCCCTCCGCAGAGGGAGGGTTGGCAGAAGGCTCAGATGAGGCAGCACATGTCCAAGGTGCCTTGCAAACTCTGAGGTGCTCTACAGTTGCTCGTTTTATATGTCCCTGGATGCCACAGACAAGCCACAGCCTCCTTTAGCCAACACGCTCCCCCGCCCCGTAGGTGTCTCCACCCTCCGCAGTCTCAAGCCCCTCCTCAGAAGCAGCCAGTCACTAAGGCTGGCTTTCCCATTTTAGGGGAGGCTCAGGGACACAGCCGGCTGCTTCCTCCGGGGCCTGAAGCTTTGCAAAGCCAGGAAGGACAGGAGCAGGATATTTCAGGAGGCTGTGGATGACGAGGTCACAGGGCGGGGCGGGGTTGAGGGGAGCAGAAGGGATGGTTACAGGGCCTGTTGATGCAGACACAGATTTGCCAGAATTTTTTTAGGGCAGGAAAGGGCCTGGGGGATCATCTGGTCCAGCAGTGTCCATACCTGTCTGTGCACCAGAGTCACAGTGGGTGGAGGTGGGGGTTGGAGGTGGGGTTAAATACAGATTCCCAGGCTCCGCCAGGGACCTCCTGAGGCCCAGGGATCTCTATTTTTAATAACCTCCCCAGATGACTCTGAGGCAGCCAACTCTGTCCGCAAGCCTGCATTTGGAAGTAATCGATTGAGTCTGTACGATTTCCTTCTGTGTTTCACAGAACCTGAGAGTTTCTTGGAGGTGAGGGTGAGGGCGCATAGCCTAATAACTGGGGCTCCAGCTCCCACACACCCCCACTTCTCCATTTTAATCTACTTAGAGGTTCTCGGTAAGATAACACGTAAAAACAGGGTCTCCCAGCTTGAAGACATTGAACACCACTGGTCTGTGAATATCTCCCTCTCTTAGGTGAGGAAGCTGAGGCCCAGAGAGGCTAAGTGACCTGGCCAAGGCCACACGGGTGGTGAAGAGGGAGGTGGAGCTGGAAGCCAGGTCTCCTGACTCCTGAATCCCAGCCCTTGGTGTCTGTCTGTCTCTTCCGAGGAGGAGAAAGGGGCTGCCGCCTCTCCCACACCTGCCCGTTCCTCCCACCCTGAACCTCCCTCTGGAAGGGCCCTCTCATCCCCAGCCAGCTTCTGGAATTCCACCCCTTGTGGGCTGGGTCCTCGGAGACCCAGCGGGCAGGGAGGTCGGGTCAGGATGAAGTGGGGGCAGAACAGGCCACAGGCAGGCTGGTAACTGTACAGTCCTCTCTGGAGAGACTCATGGGGCTGGTGATTGAAGAAGGGGAAGGGGGAAGCCAACACACGGAGGAAGAGATTATTTTCCTCCGCCACACGCTGAGAGGTTTGTTCTTTCAGATGATAGGAAACTCTGTCAACAGAAGCCTTTGGATTTGGGGACTTTATATTTTTAATTTTTTTGGTAGACAATTGCATTTCTATTTTTGACACAGCATTTAACTTGCAGATTTGTATGAATTATTAATACCCCTCCTGCATGCCGAGTCACAGAGCAATGAAGCTGCGAACTCAGGCCTGAGGCCCCTCCCAGGGAGGGCTGGGGCCAGGGGGAGGGTGTGCGGCAGAAGGGTCCTCTCCGTGTCACCGTCCATTGCCTCACTTTCCTGGTGGCCCCATGGTGGCTTTTGTCACACTCAGAGATCTGAAGAATACGATTGCTCACTCATACGGTGCAGGTCCCCAAAGAACCGAGGCTTTATGCAGAATTGGAGAGGAGCCACCAGGAGCTCTGGCCCTCCAGGCCCCTTCTCGGAGATCCCTGGCCACCAGGAATCTGGTGTGTGCCCACAGGACACGACACTTGCCCAGCTGTGCTGAGCCTGTCCCGGAGGGTCTTTGCAAAGAGCCTGGAGGATTGTTTCCTCTCTTTTTTTCTGGGCTCTGAGACCTTTCAGAGGAGGGAAGCCAAGTGTGAGCAGGTTGATGAGAGTGGGTTCTGCCAATGGTTGGGAGGTAGGAGATGTGGTGACCCCCTTTTAGAAATTCGCAGTCTAATGGTGGAGGCTGGACACATGTGCACGTGTGCACAAAAACAGGCCTGACTTGCGGGGAAATAGGACCAGTTACTGTGGAGGAGCAGAGGTATTTGGAGCTGAGGCTGAAGAGTCCTGGGAGCTCCGGTGTGGGAAGGATTCTTCATGGAGCCCCAAGCCCCAGCCTACAGCCTGGATCGTTTCCACAGCGCCCACACCAACCACTGTTCACTGTCCGTTGAGGGCATCCATGGCACTGGGACAGCGGTGACAATTAGGTGATCGGAGAGGCTGAGTCTCCTTGGTGTAACCTTGAGTCCGTCACCATCTTGGCCCCCTCCTTTTTATGCTCCATTTAGCCACGGTCCTCTTAAAGTGCAGCTCGTTTCCAGACACAACCATTGTTCTAACCAGAGAGGCACAGGCCTATTGCCCCACCTCATCTCCAACATTCTGGATGCTACACAGCCCGAGATCCCGTTGCAATTGGAGACACACACTTGGCTGACCACAGGGCAGGTGTGTTAGGGCTGTCATTACAAAGCAGCGCAGCCTGGGGGGTGCACACACAAAAATGGATTTCCTCCCAGTTCTGGAGGCCAGACGTCTGAGATCAAGGTGTTGGCAGGATGGGCTCCGTCTGAGGCTTCACTCCCTGCTGGTGGATGGCCGACTTCTCCCTGTGTCTTCACCTGGTCCTCCCCCACACCTGTCTCTGTCCTGATCCCTTCTTCCAAGGAGGACAGCAGTCATTTGGGATTCAGACCCACCCTACTGACCTCATTTTAACTTTCCTGCCTCTATAAAGGCCCCGTCTCCAACTGCAGCCACAGAGTGAGGTGCTGGGGGTTTGGATGTATGAATCTGGGGTGGGGAACTCAATTCAGCTCATAAGAGCAGGAAAGAAACCATGAGACCACAGCCCTCTCTTAGGCTGGTACTTTCCAGCCTGCATTTCCCCCAGCCTTTCCCCAAAAAGCTGTTTTTCCAGCCAGCGGTAATGAGTTGACCATGTGGTTCTCCTGCCCTCTTCTCTGCCCCAGGTGGTACTGGGCCCCTGGCCCGTGCTCATCAGATGTCCACTTGGGTTGAATTAATATTAACAAAGGGGCTGATCTTTGAGGCACGGCTCTAATCTCACAGAATCTGTAATCTGATCATCTAATCTCACATAATCTGTACAACCACCTGGGAGACTGGGGGTTACCACTGCCGTTTGATAGATGAGGAAACCGAGGCTCAGAACAATCACACGACTTGTCCCCGCATAGCTGTCTGGGAGGAGATAGGTCTGGACTTTGAGCCCAAGTCCTGACTTTTGAGTCTAAGTGTTCTTTCCACCGCACCAGGCAGCAGCCCCTCCGAGGCAGCAAATTACTTCAGGCCCCAGGGGCTCAAACCCAAGGAGGGGTCTGGGGCTCCTGGGACCTGGGGTGGTGCAGCTGGGGACTGCTGAGCAGCGGCTGAAAGAGGTACTCGCCCACCCGTCCAAAAAGTCTCAAGGTGCTTGATTTCCCCAGGAAATGTTGAAAGGAAGCAGACTTCACCACTGGCCTCTTCAGGGGGCCCTGGTCATGTCTCAGAAACTCGGAAGAGACAAGGAGTCTGCAGCCTATCAGGATGGATGGTGTGTGTGAGTGTGCGCGCGCGCACAGGAGGTCCCCACAGTGCTCCGTGATGGGGAGGTGGGAGATATACACACAGCCCCCCAGGATGACTCAAAATATGTTTTTAGGATCAGAGTATTCTTGTCCAGCCCAGGACTGCAGAGGACTGACCCAGAGGTTGGCCAAAAAGACTCCTCTCTTCCCTCAGGAATCCCTAGAGCTTGTGGGGTACAGTGAGAAAGACAGGCCCGGGTACCCCCATCGCCTCCAGGAGGAAGAAGGACCCCCTCCTCTGACTAGCTTTTCCCTGATCCTCTCCTCGCATCCACACTCATCTCACTGTCTTCAGCTGCTTCCTCTGCGCGCTCAGTCCTCCGTCCCTGCCTTCCCCTCCTCCTCAGCCCCGCACTGTCTGACTTACATGCAGAGGAAAAACTCAGAGCTCAAAAGCTTCCCACTTAATTCATTACAAGTAAATTGGATGATACTGATCGATGACTCTGGTCAGCAGGATTCTCCTTACTAAACTAGCTTCCTCGGGGTTGGCAATTATTGGTACTTAATAATTGTGTGTTGAACTAATTGATGAATTCATTGTGGGAGAATCCTTGATCTCTGTATGAGAAATGACCATCTCTGGTGTGGGAGAGGCTGGAAGAGCAGCCGGAGACCAGAGTTGATTCAGTAAAGACCTAAGATGCTAAGATAAAGACCTAAATAATTTTAAAATTAGAGTATCTGACACCACAGGGTTACTCGTGGAGGGAGGAGAAAATGTCCCCCTGCTCCCATGCAAGCTGCATCCTGAAGACACCAGGTGCAAGTCTTTTCGGTGTTTCTTCTGGCAGTTCCCTCCTTATTTCTATATAACGTGCTTTACTGCTGTCTCCCAACTCGTTAGAGCCTCATGTCAAATATATGGTGACCCTGGGCCTCCTGTTCATGTTTTGTATAAGCCTTGGAAAAGCTGGTTGGAAGCCTGGGAGCGGAGAGAGATGCCAGGCTTGGGGACTGATGGGACCCTCGTTTATCAGTATCTCTAGGTCTTTCCTCTTGAGCCCTGTGTCCCCAGAAAGGACTCTTCCAGAGTCCGGCCACTCGCAGCCTCAGTGCTGAGCAGGGGAAGAGAGCAGCGGGTCTGCTCGGGCAGCGGGCAGGGGGCCGCACGGTCCCTGTTTCTCGCAGCGCCACCCCCTCCTCCCAGCCGTGCTCGGTCTCCCTCTGTCCAGAGCCAGTGAGGGCTAGCCTCCCTGAAAGTGAACTGCCGGTCTTGGGAAGTCCCCTGGCTATTTGAAAAGGGGGTTAAAAACCTGGGGTTAAATTCCCTCTTCTATGAACTTTCCAAGAGTCCTCCTGCTTTATCGCACCTGCGCCTTGGCCTTCAGAGTCTCCCGGGGCCTCTGATCCCCAGGCTTTGTGAGCTTCGTCTTCCCACACTCACTCCGAGCTTTGCTGAGAAAGCAGAAACCTCAGTGGTTACCGCTGCTCCGCCTGCCTTTCCATCCTCCAACGCAGGCCCTCTCTTGTCCTCTCCGGTCCCCTGTCCGCTTCCTTTTGTCCTTGGAGGTTTCTGCCTTTCCTGCACTTAGCACCAGGTACCAGAGTTACCTGTTTTCTTATCTCTCTCCCCAGTAGAAGGGGAGGATGGGATATTTTTGTGCCCCTAGTGTCTAACACAGGCCCTGGTATACAACAGGCACTCAGTAAATGCATGCTGCATAATTGGATGGGCAAATTGGCCTCAGTTTCCCCATCTCTCAAATGGGGCTTTGGAGCCATGGTGTCCAGCTTTCTCTGCTTCTGTGACTGGGGAGAAGTTCCCACTGAAGGAATCTGGGGGGTCCCTAGAGCCGTAACAGCTGTGCCACTCCTGGGAGACAGCAGCCTCAGGCTAGCGCCTCAGAAGCACCAGTTCCGCACATCTTCCTTCCTGTGTTGCAGGGAGCAGTGTGTGCCCAGCCCTGCCCACCAGGGACGTTTGGCCAGAACTGCAGCCAGAACTGTCCTTGCCACCACGGAGGGCAATGTGACCACGTGACTGGGCAGTGCCACTGCACTGCTGGATACATGGGGGACAGGTAAGGATGCTGTTAGCTCTTGTCCTTGCTGCTCACATGACTCGTTTTTACAGCAGCCTTGCAGGGAACAGCTCGGGTTTACCAGCCCACAGCACCCTTCTGCCAGCTTCCCTGTTCCTTTCTCAGACCTTCCGCCAACCCATCCTTCCTGGCCCTTGGCCCGCTGAGCGTACCCTCCCCCGGCCCAGTGACCCAAGCCCTGAACTCCCATCAGCTCACCTCGGGGAGGAGGCGGGCACCCCCCACACCCTCTGCATTCTGCCCTCTTGAAGGGAGGCAGTGGTCGTGATAATCCAAAGCTGAATGTGCAAACTCAGTTCACACGTTCAGGATGATTTCTTTTAGAAGTGGATCTTAATTTCTGATGTGAGTTCTGGCAAAAGAATACTGACATCAGTTTGCATCCTCTGGCCTGAGGGCAGACTGGAATCAAACCCGCCTTGCACGGTGGATAACCCACAGAGCACGTAATGGAGGGTTTACTAGATGTGCACGCTTATCCCGGTAAGAAGGGTTCCATGATGGTAGGGCAGGTGCTCTGGAAGGCGGAGAAACAATCCATGTGTCTGATGGTGGGTGGATTCAGGGCTTGAGGAAGACGTTTGTCCCCAGAACCTGGGCGAGTTTCCTCCCTCACTCTCAGCCACGTGTCTCTTTGAGCAGAGACAAGGACGGTAGAGAGGAGGCTCCCACATCTTGCCTGCTTCTGTGGGATCCATGTTTCATCTCTGGCCCTGGATCTTGTTACTCTGCCTCCCCTGCCCAGGTTACATCAGGAAGCAGGGATCAGGGCTGAATTAACCATTGAGTCGTCCAACTCTGACCGACAGACATAATTGGGCTCCTCCAAACTCTTCCTGAAGTCAGCCCCAAATCCTTAGTGATGTCCAGAAAAGAAATTTTCCTTTTTTAGCCTTGGGCTTGCTTATCCCTAGCAAGAAGCCTTTTAAACCATATCTGACCTCTTCATTAGCCAGTGTTCATCTCCATGAGCTTCCCAGACATGGAACGTGGGGCATGGATCTGGGGACCCATCCCTCCGTGAACCGTGTCAGAGATCATGTCTCTGGGGGCAGAAGGGGAGGCAGGACTGAAGCCCTGAGCCCACCTGCCCATCCTCACCATCTCCCCCAGTAAGAAAATGCTCGGGATGAGCCAGTAGGGACAAGAGCTGAAAGACCCCGGAACTAGAGCAGGGCCCCTTTGTTTCCGGCCACTTCCCCGTGAAAGCGAATATAGCCCACTCACTGCTGGAGACCAGTGGGCCCAGGGCTCCAACTGACCGCTCAACACCAGGAGACCCATTCTCACTGGCGCTCTCCATTTCCACCAAGATGTACCAAATGGAGAAATAACCCTAATGCCCCTTATTGGGACTCAGCCTATGATCCCGAGGCAGAGAGAAACCTCAGAAGCCTCAGGGTCCTCTGGTAAGTTTTGCCAATCAATGACAGAGAAGAATTCAATAGAAGGGCCTGGTAGCATTTGGGTTTCCCCCCTAAATGGGCTTCCTGGTGTTTAATATTTCGTAAAATTGCCTCCATTAATTTTGTAGGTGACAGCTGCATGAACCCACCCCACATCATCGCAAGCACATTAGAGTTGAGTGGGTGTAATAACGCGGGCCTCCCCGGATAGGCAGAATCCAGTGCAAATTAAACATGAAACGTAACGAAGCTTTTGCAGCTCATTTTGTAATTTAATTGAGCAATGTATCTGGTTGTTAATGGCAATATCGGACACATTAGATTGATATGTTGCAAAGGAAGGATGTTTAAGTAGAAAACTAATTCCTGCTGTGATTACCCTTCTGTTCCACAGGCCCTGTTATTAGCATGCTTTGTGTAAAATTCATTAGCAGTCGTTGCTTGATCTCTAAATAAATAAGTTGTTTAAATTGTGAGTAGGAAAAAAAAAGCAGCTGATTATGTAAATGGATTAGGTTGTCAATATTTCATTTCCAGATTCTTTTCCTGGGGCTGTGGAGTCAGTCACTTTGTAAATATGACGGGGTGGGGACATGCCCTTCAGAGGGAGCTCACTGTCCCGGCGGGCTTTGCCCAGTCCTGCTGGATGGGAGGCAGCAGGAATGTTCCAGTGAAAGGGAGGGGTCGAGAGGTGTCTCCGGGCTTGGGTTTCTTCCCCTGACGTCTGAGACATCCCAGGAGAGGCAACCTGAGTGACTTCTGGGAAATCCATTCTGAGGCTGGCAGTTTAAAAGGTGACTGTCCGGCTCAACGCTCGGTGTCGTCCCCTTCTGCCTCGGTGTCCCTCCTCACTGTCCTCCACCTCCGATCCCTTCTCCACACCCCCTTTCTCTTTCCTTTTCCTCCCCTACTTTTCTACCCACTCCCTTCATGATGCCCCAGACTGGCTAACATGCAGCAAGATTTGCAGGAAGACGATCTGGGCGTGCGATGGAGAACACTGGTTCCAACTTAGGACTCTCCAAGATTTAATAAAGAAGCTAAGGCTATATATATATTTTTAAACATCTTTTATTGCTCCCCTCTGCCCTGATTATTGTGGAAGGCATATAGAAAATCTGAAAATGGGAAAACATAACCATTAAAATACTTATAATTGCTCAAGTCCACTCCATTGTTAACATTTTGGAGTTTTTCCTTTTGAGCTTTTCCATGCCAGAAGGGCTCTGTTAGGAGAACTGTAGAATACAGTATTAACAAGGGTAATAATAAGAACTCACATTTCTTACTGAGCCCTCACCGGGCATGGGGCACCTTTCTCAATGTTTGCACATGTTCTCTCATTCACTCCTGACACACCTGGTGAGGCTGAGTTACTATCCTCCCGTTTGGTGATAAGAAAGCGGACATCAGAGCCGTAAGGTCGGTTCCCTGTTCTCCGCACCTTGGAAGCAGGGTGGGGATGCGGATAATCCAAGACCCCAGAGTCCAGAGGCCACTTCTGTTTGTCTCTGGGTTGCAGGGGTCACCCACCTCTTTTACTTCGTATGCCCCCAGGTTCACCCCTTAACTGTCAGGATCCAGTTGCTGTGACAATGACTTTACATCCCCAGGGAAATAGCTTCTGGACTAGAGTGAGGGGTGTTGGGTGCATCCAGGAAGCCAGGCAGTCAGCAGTGGGGGTTACACCCACCCACAGAGGACCCACAAGCAATGGCTGTGAGTTGATGAGTCGAATAATTATCATTATGCTGGGAGCTCCAAGTACCAGGCCAGAGCTGAGGCAGGACACAAACGGGACCCAGCCCTCCTCTTTGTGGGGGGGGGCTCACTAGCTGCTGGGAGAGGCTCAGCCCCTGCCTTGAGGGGACCCCCCTAGTCTAAGAAAGAGGAAATAGCCCCTGTCATGGGGGTTCCCCTGGTCTGATGAAGGAGGATGCTTCTGTACTCACAGGGAAATCCCACCCTGCAGAAGAGGCTCATCTCCCAGGATGACAAAGGGAGACTGTACCGCTGCCCAAAGGATTCAAAAAACAGAGAATGAGTAGAAACAAAATTACCCCTTTTCATCAAATCTAAGATGCCACCAATTGTAAGATGCATCATTAGTGTATTCACTGCTAAGAATGAAAAACCCTGATAATTAAACTATGACACACCATCCGTTATAAGACTTAATCTGATTTCAGAGACGTTAAAATATATTTTAAAAGCGTAAGGTTTGTTTAACGGGTACAGAAGTTTCAGTTTGGGAAGATGCAGAGGTTCTGGAGATGGATGGTGGTGATGGTTGCACAATAATGTGAATACTTAATGCCACTGAATTGTCCACTTAAAAATGGTTAAAGGTAAATTTTATGTTATACATATTTACTGTAATAAAAAATTTTAAAAACACATAATGCCGATAATCAATGAAATATGATAGTATGAACTCAGTCCTGGGGACTAAGGGGAACTGGCATGGAGCGGGGAACGGACTGGGGTGACTAAACCATGGAGTACTTCCTGGAGGAGGAGAGGGAAGACGGGAGGAGGCTGTGAGGAGGTGGGTGCAGCCCGGCAGGCCCAGGCCTGGAGGCAGGGGGTGCATGCCGGATGGATCTGGAAGGGCGGGTGAGGGGGCACAGCCTCACCCCGCTCTGCTGTCCCACAGGTGCCAAGAGGAGTGTCCCTTTGGGACCTTCGGCTTCCAGTGCTCCCAGCGCTGTGACTGCCACAACGGGGGCCAGTGTTCGCCCACCAGCGGCGCCTGTGAGTGTGAGCCTGGCTACAAAGGCCCCCGCTGCCAGGAGCGGCTGTGCCCCGAGGGCCTGCACGGCCCAGGCTGCACCTTGCCCTGCCCCTGTGACGCCGACAACACCATCAGGTACGCGCTGGGGACAGGTGAGCCTGGGGATGGGATGCGGTGGGCCCTGGTGGAGAGGGGCCACTCAGGGCACAAACCCCCACTTCTCACCAGGTCATCTAGGCAGGGCAGTGAAAGAGCTGGGGTCTCAGCGATCACCTTCGCTCACCAGTCTGATGGGACAGGATGGCCAGGGCAGAAGCAGGGAGCTTGAGCCACAGAGGGTCAGTATTAGAAGGGACCTTAAAATCCAGCGTGGCTCACCTGGGGCCCGCAGAGGGCTGTCCCAGCAGGCCCCGGATAGGGTGGAGGAGCAGGTGGGACAGAGGGCCGGCCTTTCATCAAGGTCTTGGCTTGGGGCCAGCTTCTCCCTGCGCACTGTGTTCTTTGGTGCCTGGGGCTATCTGGGCTGAAGCTGGCCCCACCCTTGCTTCCTGGAAGTGGAGAAGCCAGAGCTGCTGGGGCTGCCTCTCCCAGCTCCTTGGCTTCCTGCTTCCTGCACCGCCTGGCACCGCCCTTGGGAAATAAATGAGGCTGTCAGGCCCCAGATAAGCACTTCCACAGCCCTGTGTGTGGCCACCTCTTATCAGGGCGGTGAAGGGAGAGGGGAGGCGCCTTCTCCCCTCAGGCCTGCAGGACAGCTCGGGGAGGACCGGCTGCTCGGGGCAGTGGGTGATGTGACTGTTTGCAGGCCAGACTGAGACTCCTGTCTCTGGGACAGCCAGGACTTAGCCTCGATCCCTCTTCATTCCCAACTTTTAATTCTCTACATGTCCCCTGAGAGCCTCTGGTCACTGTAAGTAAGGGCATCTTAGCAAGTGTTATGGCTTGGACAGACTCGGTCCTTAGTCCTCAGTTCCACTCAGTTCAGCTGAGGGGCTAGGGCAGTGCTACCCACTAGGGTAGAAGGTAGGAAAGGAGACTGTTAGGAGGGGGCCCTTGAGCCAGTGGAGCTGGCCTGAATATGACTTAAGCACTCATCTGCTCAGTCATTCATTTAACAAACACTGAGAGCCTGCAGGGCCAACTGCGAGGAAGTAATAAAGGGTCCCTCGGCCCCAGTCCAGCCCTCAGGAACTTGAGCCTGGAGCACCCACACACTGAGTACCTCTGCCATATTTCTTCAAATACAAAGCACCACCAGTAGTGAAGCACTGCTTTATTTAATGTACTACCAAAACTGAACCGTGACATACCATTGACTGGATAACACATCCATCAGAAAATGTAAGGGAGAGTCTATCTTAGAATTGGTGAAATACGTGAACCTGCTGGGTCCCAACATGGGCTCAAGTAACGGTGACCCAGGGCTCTGTACAGAAAGCACCATAGGAGACTACTATGCTGGTCAGGGAAGGCTTCCTGGAGGAGGTGGCTTCAGGGCTTGGTCTGGAAGGAAGGGTGAGCACTCCAAGTCTCTAAACATAGGGGTCCCTTGGCTTCCCCACAGGGGTAGGGGGCCTTCACCCTGTCACTAGGACCCCCTATCCCTAAGGGGGAGCCAGGGGAGGACAGAAAGCAAGGCTGCCGCTGAGGTAAGATGCAGGGAGAGTTCCTGCCACAGAGATCCAGCCAACCCCCAAATTAAAGAGCTATTGTTTTCTTCCCGTGCTTGCGCAACCGTGCCCTGCATAATTCATCCCTCCTCTGAAGGAGTCCTCGATGCATTATTAATCTGGAAGGACTCCCTCTTCTCCGCCGCTAATCTCAGCCCATTCAATATTGATGATTATTTGCTTTACGGTCTTTAACATGTGTCATGTTTGGGGGGTTGGGAGGCAGTAGTGCTGCTTAGGTGAGGGGGCTCCAGGAGCCCCTGGCAGCCAGCCCCCCAGGCAGGGTTCCTCCGTGTCGGCTCGACCACCTCCCCGTGTCTCAGCCCGGGCTTGTCCATCTCTGCGGCCTCAGCGTTGCCCGTTGCCTGGCACAGAGCAGACCTTCAGGAGAAAGAATCGCTGAATTCATCTTAAACAGCCCATTCCCCTATCTAGGGGTTCTGCCCCCTGAGCTGATATCTGCCCTACTTTTAAAAAAAAATTTCACCCCTTTCTCTTGGCACACTGCCCCCGTGACTGAGTCCCCAACACTCACAAGGTTTTGCTTTAGTCTAAGTCAAGATTTCTCGACCTCACCGCTCTTGATGTTTTTGGGGCTGGATAATTCTTTGCTGTGGGCAGCTGTCCTGTGCATTGCAGAATGTTTAGCAGAATCCCTGGTCTCTACTACTAGATGCCAGTAGCAATATCACAGCCCCGAGTTCTAACAACCAAAAATGTTTCCTAGATGGGGTCGGGGGGAGGCAAAATGGTCTGAGGTTGAGAGTCTCTGGTCACACTGAACCTGTCTCGTGCTGCACTTGGCTTTGCTCTCCTGGACACAGAGAACAGCTCTCTTCCTCCGTGTGGGCACAGGTCACGCCTCTCCTCCCGTGAGCCTTTGTCCCATTCTGGACCCTTCTCTTGGGATCCAGGAAAAGCAGCGGGATGATTCGGTGACTCCTAAACCCAAGGCAGTTAAGCTGCAGGTTCTGGGTGGGTCTGGGGCCCCGAGGCCTGGCCTTCAAAACACCTCTGACTGAGCCAGTGGTCTGGTATGTGTACTTCTCTCTCTGTCTCAGTTTCCCAATATGTCTGTCAACCTTTCATCAGCCCAGTGGGGGTAAAAGTTTCCTTGTGGTCTTGGGAAGTGAAGCTTCCATCTAACTCCCTGACAGATGGAATGTGGGATCCCCAGAAACCCTGCCTCTTTCCCCACTGGCTTCTGCAAGAGCTTGCAGCCGAGCCCCACCAGGACGTCTTGCAAGGAAGACCTTGAGCATCTTTTCTAGAGATGCAAAGTACTCCCCAACCCCTGACCGAAGAAAACCCTCCTCATCTAGCCCCAGTCCCTCACTGCTCTGTGCCCCTCTGGAGAGGCTGCTTCAAAGAAGTCGAACCCACATGCGCAGGGAAGGAAGGAGTGGCTGGTGAAATTCCCCAACACTTCATTCCGTTTTTAAACGCTTTGTAGCACACACAAAGAAAGCGTCCTCCTTCATAAAGGAATGACCTTGAGAAAGTAAGCGCCTGTCTCAGACCTTGCCCATGTCCCCTCCACAATTGGATTGTCATAGACGAATTCCAGCAGCCATGATCGTGGATTACTTTTGAAAGATTCGATTTAGCCACCAGATGCTGCATTGATAGAAATCTCAGAGCAGCCAGAAAAAAATGGCAGAAAAATCCACCGTGAAAATATTCCTGTATTGTTCAGCTTTCGGTTCCTATTAACTTGTGATTAATCTATGTCTGGGGGAAATGGGAGAAAGGGGAGAGAAAAAAAACAGAGCACACAGAACCAGCCTGGACACCAGTGTGTGTAAGTGTTGCCTGAGCCTAACCAGCAGTCACTTGCCCACCATGCGGCCCAAGGGAATGGCTCTGCCACCACCAGGGGGAGGGGAGCAGGGAGCAGGGGACACCTGGCAGAGGGAGATGTGACAAAGGTACCAAAGGTACTGAGAGTCTGGGGACAACAGTTTTCAGCCATAATCGCTGAGTCAGCCGTCATTCCCCCACCCTCTTTTCAAGGCGATTTTGGAGTCTTTAAAATAAATGCCCAGTAATCAAATTGAGAAAATTGAGATTTTTGTTTTTTAAAACAGAATTTTAGGGACATGGAAGGAGAGAGAAAGAAGTGATTTCAGATTTGGTGTTGTGCTTTCTGGTTCTCAGAGTAAAAAGTAAAATTGGTGCCAAGATACAACCCTAAGCGTCCAAAAAGCTGGCGGCTGAGATGGAAACCAGAAACGCAGGAGAGCTTAGAGGCCGGCATCCCCCAGATCTCCGTGCATGTAGGATGCTTTTGCCAGGGTGGTCTTCACACCCGAGCAAGGACCTGGAACCGGAGGATCTATTGAAGGGAAGGGCAGAAGGGTGGCTGAGACCTTCCAGGATCTCCGGGGCTGGCAGAGCTGATCGCTGCAGCCATGCTGCTGGGTCACTTCTGCGTCCACGCATGGCAGTCCCCCACGAGTGTGACCAAGCCAGTCCCTCTGACCCTAAACCACAGCCTCAGAGGAGGCCTCTGGGAAGCTGAAGCATGGAAAGGCCATGCCTAAGGGCTGTGCTCGAGTGTTGGGACAGAGAGGAGTGCCCCACAACTGTCTGCTGAGGGTCAGGACCCCTAAGTGGGGGGCCCCTGCTCTGTGGCACCCATTCAGGCCGCTATTTCCCCTTAAGGTGTGGGGCCCAAGGAGAAGTTTTTCTGGAACCATGAAGGTCAGGAAGTTTTCAGACATCCATCCCTTACACGCATTTTTAAAAACATATTTATAATTTTTATTGTTCTTTATCTGTTTATAAATATAATAGATGCTCAGTTTGAGAGAGTTAGAGAGATAGAGACATTTAAAGAAAAAACTCAGAATCACTCATGATTTCTCATCCCAGAGGTGAGCACAAAAGCCATTTGGTTACAACTTGCTCATTCTTCATCCATGTCTGTATCACTTTTTTTCATATTTCAGATCATGACATTGTATGCAATTTGCTTATTTCACTTCCCCTTGTGTCCTATCATGAAACAGTTTGGAAAACATTTGAATACTTCTCTAACAATCCTTCATCTGAATTGCCATAATTCATTTAACCAGCACCCTGTAGTCAGAGGTGCCGTGAGGCAGTGGACAGAACACAGCCAGACAGACCTGGGTTTGAATCTCTGCTGCCACTGAGTTAGCCTTTGTGACCTTGGGCAAGTCATACGCCCCCAGGCACTGTCTGAAAAATAGAGGCGCCGATGCCTAGCTCACAGGCTTACTTGAAGTTTAGAAATGTAGGTGTAAAGGGCCTGGTCTTTTAATAGCCTGGCCACATCTTATTTATTATTATTTAAATTGCTTCCATTTTCCACTGCTATAAATAATGCTTCAGGGAACATCTCTGTGCATAAATCTTTCTCTACAACTGTGATTATTTCCTTAGGATAGATTCTTAGAAATGGAATTATAAGACCAAAGGGTCTGAATATTTTTAGGACTCCTGATACACAACCCCAAATTGTTTTTCAGAAACCTTTACCAGCATTGAGTATTATCCCTTAAAAAGAAAGAAAAAAGAAAAGAAAAAACTGTACCATGTTGACAGATGAAAAAGTGATATCCAACTGCTGTTTTGACTTGATGATTAATGAGACTAAACATTTTCCAAAGTGATTATTAGCTCCTCGCACTTACTATTCAGGAACTGTCTGTTCCTGTCCATCCCTCATTTTCCACGAGAAAATCAAGTCTCCCAGAAGAGAAATGGCTTGGGCTGGGCCTCGCACAGTTAGTTCATTCATTTGTTCATTCGCCGAATGTGTGTTGAGCATCTGCAGTGAGCCAGGGACTCTGCTGGGCCCCGGGGGACAATACAGAGGTGGAATGGACAAAAGGCCCTCCCCCGCGGAGCTGCCGCCTGGTGGGGAGACATGATAAACAAGTCAACAGACACAGAAAATAATTACATGTAGTGAAAGTACTGTTCATTCCCAAATACTTACTTGGGTGTTGAATATGAGCCAAGCACTGGGGATCCACCAGTGACCCAGGGAGACGAAGCCCACAGCCTTGTGGAATTTGTCAGAACCAAGATTTGTCGCCAGCCCAGCGCTCACTACTGTCTACCACATCCCTTGAGCTGGACTCCAGAGCGGAGAGGCAGGTGACACGGGGAATCTGTGAGGCTTGTCTACCATCCGGCATCTTCTCTGGACTGTTAGTCTGGGTTCTCCCAGAAGCAGATGCCAAGTGCAAGAGATGTACTAGGGAAAGAGCCATCAGGGAAGATGGAGAGGCTGGGAGAGCGTCAGGCTGCGACGCAGTTCGGACCTTTGTGAAGGAGAGCGGGGAGGAAGTTTGGGTGGAAAGTCTTAGACTGCAGCACAGTTCTAAGGAAGTTTAGTAAGATGGAGGGGGTTGGTGGTTAAGACAAACTTGCCCAGTCAGAGGAGTCCCAGATTTCCCGGGAATGTGTTGACCTTCCCATCCCTGCTGTACTCCAGCTAAGAGTGGTCCAGGGGACGTGTGACCCCTGAGCAAATGTGGTGGTGGACTTCAGACACAGTAGCAGGGGCCGGCCGTCAGTTACACTCCCTGCAGAAGTCGTGAGAAGAAAACCGTCACCACACCCTTATTGCCTCTGATCATGTGTGGGTGTCAGCTGTTGGATCAGAACTCTGCCAGCCCGGGGTTGCCCCACTCTCTAGAGGTCACGCCAGACAGCCTCTGCTCCAGGCAAATAGTTCTTTATCTGGGCCGGACAGGAAAGGGATGGAGACAATCTCACTCACTCTTAGAGCCCCAGCAAAGCACAGATGGAGGGCGTCCTCTCCAACACGCACAGTGCCAGAGCGATTGCCATATGCGATCTCACTGCAGCGCTCCTATGCCTGGGGCATGCTCCACGTCCACCTTAAGGGCAGGCTGGTGAAGCTCCGGGCCTCACAGTCCGCAAGGGAAGGGGCTGTAGAGGCTGCCTCCCGCTTTGGTCTCTGTGTGTTTGGGAGTCAGGAGACCTGGTTTTTGCCACTCCCTTGCTGTATGACTTCAGGGAACTTACAGAACAACTGTGAGCCTGTTTCTTGGGGCTAATAAGACCACGTGACCTTGGTATTTTCTGACCAATAAACAAAACATTAAGCAACTACACCTCAGAGGTCCTTCAATCTTGCTGCCCTGGGCAGACCAGACTTGGGGTGGGTAGAGGGTGGGACATGGCCACATTCTTGACCAAACAGTCCTCTCGTCTTTCTCTCGTCTGCTCAGCTGCCACCCAGTAACTGGAGCTTGCACCTGCCAGCCGGGATGGTCTGGCCACCGCTGCAATGAGTCCTGCCCTGCTGGCTACTATGGCGATGGCTGCCAGCTGCCTTGCACCTGTCGGAACGGCGCCGACTGCCACAGCATCACTGGGAGCTGCGCTTGTGCCCCGGGCTTCATGGTAAGATGGGAGGGGACTCCCGTGGCCTCTCTGCTCCTCCACCCCGACCCAGGAGAGGAGGGGCCGGCTCCTCCCACTTCCGGGTGGAATCAGGGACTGTGGCCCTGTGCCCAGGGATGAAGAATGGGAGTGTCTCCATGTCCCCCTCAGAGATCGAGTCTGTGACGGGATAGCCACCAAGGCTGTTCCCAAATGGCCGGTTCTGCTGGGGTTTGTAACTGTAAAAGAATGGGAACCAGGGGTCTGTCCATTGTCCCCTCACCCTGAAACACTAGTTTTCTTCATACCCAGCTCCTCCCTGTCCAGATCCTATGCACACAATATTTTCCCATCATTATAACTGCAGAACGTATGATAACCACAGCTTTATATTTGGCTTTCCTTCACCCACATCTGCTGCTTGGACTTCTTAATCCTCATTTTAAATGGCTGCATGACTCTGCGGGAGCTGATGGACTCCCAGGTGTCTCAGCTATTGCCATCCTGCTGAACACTGAGCTGTCTCCAATGTTCACAGCAAAGGTTGCAATGAGCATCTTCCTACAAACAGCTTTTCCCCCTTCCTTTGAATTATTTCCTTAGGGTGACTTCCCAGGGTCAGTGGGCATAATATATTTATGGCTCTTGATGCATGTTGCCATGTTACTTTCATCAAGGGTTATATAAATCTACACCACCAGCAGCCGTGTATGAATTACCTATTTCAAAACAACTCTGCTAACATTCTTTTTTTTTCTAATTTTTGCTAATTATATAGGCAGAAAATGGCTCCTCCGCGTTGCTCTAAAATTTGCATTTCTCTGATTACTAAGGAGAGTAAACCTTTTCCCCATGTGTTTGTTTACTATTCGTATTTCCTCATGAATTATGCTGGTCTTTATGAGGATTGATTCCAGGGAACTTGACATTGGAAGTGAAATCCTGTTCAAAGGTGAGGCATGCCCTGCAGGTCTGAGAACCCAAACATTCAGGGGACCCCCGTGGCCATGTTTTTTTTTTTATGCTGCTGTAGGAAGTGGTTTGTGTGGTACAAAGTGTGGCCTTTGGAAGCAGCGCGGGGTCACATCCTGGCAGTCCTCCTCACCAACTGTGTGACCTTGGGCCAGTGAGTTACCCTGTCTCAGGATTTCCTCACCTGTGGAATGGAACGCCTGCCTTGCCGAGTTGCTGTCAGGTGTAGAGATGAGCTACATGGAGTACCTTGCCTCAGTGCTTCTCAGACCTGAGTGAACTCAGAAACCACCAGGGGGCCTTGTTAGACTGCAGGTTCTGATCCAGTAGATTTGAGGAAGGGCCTGTGTTTCTGCACGTCTAACAAGCTCCCAGGTGATGCCGATGCGGCTGACCGGTGGCCTCACTTTTTTTTTTAATTGCATATGTCCGATTTACAATGTTGTGTTAGTTCCTGGTGTACACGGTGGCCTTTGTGTAGGGAGGGGCTGGTGCTCAGCTGGGGCTGCGCACTGGAGTTACCTGGGGGAGCTCTACAAACGCTGATGCTCGGGCCCCCCTCCTGGAGTTGCTGATAAATTTGGTCTGGGTGTGGTCTGGTTGAAGCCAGTGTGCTGCCAGGGTGAAGATCCACTGATCTGCAGGGAAGCCCTTGTCACGATGTGGGAGGGTGGGTTTGCCTGCGACAGTGTGCTTTGTGGGCAGGCTGCCCCTGGTCTATAGAACGGAATTCTGTTCGGTTCCCTCTTCCTTCTCCCCAACGCAGATAAAACTGGCTGAAGAGGACCCCAGTGGCCTTTTCAAAATCGATAGAAGTCTGTTCCTCCTGCAGGTTTCCTTTCTAATTTACCTCTATTGGTGTGAGCTTTGTCCATAATTTTCGTAGGAAAAAAATGGAGTGCCCAAGGCTTGAGGTTTGGGTAGGCATGAGTAGTGGCTTGGGATTAAAAATCTCACCTCGCCAAGTGATCAGGTGACTGAAGTCGAGGTGATGTGACCACACCAGACTGCTAGGGGGACCTCCCCACCCAGACTCAGCTTGGATACTAGGATAGTTCTGTGACTTCGGGCAAGTGGCCTCCCTCTCAGGGTCCTACTTCCCTCGTGTGTAAAGGGTGGGTGTGCAGGAGGAGATGAACTGACTGATTCCTAACTTGGTCTGTTGTGCAGACTCTATGGACCAAGTCAGGGAACACACCCTTCGGGAGGAAATGAGGGAAAGTAGGAGCAAGAAGGTGTGTGTGTGTGTTGGCCAGGGGATGGGGTGGCTCCCTGAGGTTGTTATAATCTGATTGTATACATTGTCTGTGGGCCTCCCTGTTCCCCATTGGGCCCTGGGTGAAGGCGGGGTTCTGAGAGAGAATAGTGTCTGTGGGCCCCCTGCCCCCAGGCCAGGGCTCCAGCAATCTGGAGGCCAGACCACTGCCCCTCTTCCTCCCATCTGGGATGCAGATGACTTCCTGCCCTTGAACTTTGGGGGACTTGGCACTTGAGGAATCATCTCGCTGTGGAGCCCCACCTGCCTGGGGCTCGAGGCTAAGACAGATTGTGAGCCAAGTGGCCCTGGTGAGACCCTATGAATTGCCATCCATCTCTTCCTGCCCAGCCTCATTATACCTAGAAAGGCTCTTCTGGGGCTCTTTTGGGTGTTGAGCGGGAGCTACTCAAAGTGATTACAGAATAGTCAGTTGCTCTCATCCCGTGTAACTCATTCCTGCACGCACCAAGCTCCAAGGGAGAAACTATACTGTTACCCTCACCCCAGCCCCTGAATGAATGCAACTTCCTGCAATTAGCCAGCTCTGGTCAAGGTCGGGGGTCAGAACCATTAGCAGGGCAAACAGGCTGAGACCCTTCCCGAAATGTCCCGCAGTCAATGATAATTAGCAATGCGTTTACTTGTCGAGTTGGTTTGTGAATTTATGCACCTGCCTTTTTCCTTGAAAGATTTTTGGGATGGGCAATTAATTAGAGACTAATTAAAAGAGCCCTTTTCTGAGTGTTTGGGGACCTTGAGTCTAGGCTCAGCAACCCTGGACGTGTCACTTTACCTTGCTAGGCCTCAGTTTCCTCATCTGTAAAGTGAGAGCCACATCGGTCCTGCCTGCCATTGGTGAGGGATGACGGATGTGGGGCCATATCCCCAGCTGTCCTCTCCCACCAGAACTCTCCCTGCCAAGGGCTCTTTAGGGAGGATGTTGGGATACCTTTATGAAAACAGAGTTTCTGAGGGCTGAGAATGGCCTCGGGCCCAGCATAAACACGAGGGGTGCTGATGATGAAGTGCAGAACCACCCGCAGGGGTCCCATGACATGCCTGCTCTGGCCATGTGGTTCCCATCCCTTGAGGCCACAAGAATATGGGGCAGACGCAAGCCCATCTCGCAATCTGGGTGTGCTGGCCCTCACTCTCTCCTCCCTTCCAGGATACTGGATATTTTCTCTGCTAAGAACTTGGGGGGCAGCTGGAGGTATGGAATGGCTAATCAGATACCCATCCAGCCTTCTAAGAGCTTGTGCCCAATAAGAGTTGTATTCACACTAGCAGCAAACACTCATTGAGTCCTTGCTGTATGCTTCATCTCTGGTCCTCACAAGAGCTCCACAGAGGTGCATTTTCACATTCCTCAACTTGAAAATGAGAGCTGAAGTTCAAACAGGATAAGTGACTTGCTCAGGATCACAGAGCCAGTAGTGGTGGGAGTCACCTTACCTCTCATATATTAGATGATAGACTTTGATTGACAGGTCACCATGGAACCACACGAGTCTGAGTTCAAATCTTGGCCCTCCAAACCCTGCCGTACCTACTGGCGAGTCATTTATCCTGCCTAAGTCTGAATTTCCTCATCTGTTAAGAGGAGGCTTAGCCGTGAGAGTGAGAAACTTCAAATGGAAACTTTATGGCTCAGTGCCTGGACAATAGATGTCCAGTAAATTGGTAGTCATTGTTGGTAAACTATGAGGGTAGTGGGGGAACACTGCTTCCCTCAAGCCCAGCACTCCCTTCCAAGGAGAGTGTCAAGATGAGCTATGCCCAGAGATTCCTAACGGAGCAGAGCCATAAATATGCAAAGCTGCTGTTGCAGGCAGGTCCACCCTGGTGGATCACCCTGAATGGTCAGTCCCAAGATGCACTGTGGGATGGACATAACTGTCAGTGTTTGGGGAAATGAACATAGGGATGCATTTGGAGGAGAATCTGGGCATTTTATATGTTGGCTTGGCAGCAGCAATGGAATCACTCATGGTATGCATGGCTGGACTGCATTGGGGCTGCTGGGTAGGAGAAAAGAGCCCTGGGCTGAAAGGCAAGAAACCAAGTTCCTAGCTCTGGTTCTTCTAACTCTTGGGACTTCCATTTCTCATCTGTAAAATGGGAGTGAAATTCTCTGTCCAAGAGAAACAATGGTGTGGGAGCCAGTCATCAAAATACAAGTACTAAAACTTGGCTGTGGCATTGTTTCAGCACCTTGGACAGCTTCAATGAGCCTCTGCTCCAAGATAGCTCTGACCCAGGGTCCTCCTCACCCAGTCAGAGCAGCAGGGTGAACAGACGCAGGGGAAGGCAGAGTGAGGGTCACGTCACAGGGATCTCAGCCTGGCAGAATCCTGGTAGTGTCCAAGAGAGGGATGATGCAGGAAGTGAGGAGGGAGTAGCTGAATTGTGGTTGAGGGGAGTAAACGGAGCTGTATCTCCCCTTGGATGTTGGAGTCCCATCACCCCTGTCCATGGCTTTTCATTACTTACCAAATAAAACTCAAACTCCGATAATTTGTAACTGGCCCTTAAAACTAGTTAGTCCACCCTAAGCTCATCTTCTGCTACCTGTGCTGTGGCCACACATAATTCAATTTTCCCTAAACGCAGTATCTGCTTTGGGCCTCTGTCTGTGCTATTTCTTAAGCTTTCCCCTTTTCCTCAAATGTGCTCCCCACTGTCCTTACCTCAGTCTGTGGAAATCCTTCTCAGCCTTTCAGGCTAAAGTCAAA